CATGGCTGGAGATGCTGTCATCCCTCTGAGTGCCATGCTCAGGTGGACATTGTAGCCAGCGAGGTGGTGGTGGTCTGGCTCTAGGCTCTGCTGTCCCCAAGGACATGTCTGAGCACCTTCCCCTTAAGACACATATCACATGAATGTATGTTCCAGTCATTGTTCTCTGCATGGAAAGGTTATCTCTTTGAGGCAGAACACAGCCCTCTCTGGAGGCCCAATGCCAGAGATACAAACATGGCCCTTTCTTCTCGTAGTTGGTTTGAAGTTTCTGGGGCACAAGGAGCTTTTGTTCTTTGCCAAACATTTCTTGGGAGATGAAGTAGGCAGCCCTTGCCATGTGCGCAGAGCTCCTTCTTCCAAGTCTTTTCTTTCTGAAAGTGAAAGACTGAGAAGAGGAAAAAACCGAAACAACATTCCCACTAAATTGCAGAAACTGTGAGTGAGCGGATCTCACCCAGAACTTGAAGCTGCAAATAGGCCTGGTGAGAGCGGAGAGTGGGGTTAGTGCTGCCCAGGTCTCATTGGCTTTTGTCAAGAACCACCGAGGGGCTCAATCCTTACCATATGTGAAAGCTAAGTCGGCCTGCCATGGTTCCGTGGATGCTGGTGGAAGATAGACTCCTGAGTTAGGGACTAACCATGTCATTACTCATAGCCCAGCAATCGGCTCCCAAAGCTACAGGGTGGTGCAGACCAACCCCAGTGGCACAGTGCACACAGTGGGGTGGTGTCACAGCTGAGGAACCCTGAGATTAGAAAGGCCCCCCCAATTTTTCCAATTCAACAAATATTTATAAAATGCTTACTATGGGCAAGGCACCAAGAACTGGGGACACAAGTGAACAAAACAAGGAATCCTGTCCGCATGGAGCTGACATTGTAGTGGCAGCAGACAGAGAATGAAAACTACGTTAATACTTTCTAAAGAAGTTAGTTAGATAGGAAATCAGAGATGATAAGGGTATGGACAGAGAGCTGGAGGAGATGTAGGGGAGGGGAATACCAGGAGGGACAGACGTGGCATGAAATAGTGTGTCCGGGAGGGCTTCACTGAGACCAAAGTGGAGTGAAGATCCCAGGAGGTGAAGGAGCCTGCCCGAGACCACCCAGCTAGACAGGGAAAAAGAGGGTTGGACATGCCCATGTCTAATGCCAAGAAAACCCAAACATTGAAAGAGGGGCTGATGGCAACCTTGCCAACCTTTGCTTCAGAGGGAGGCCTTGCTTTTATTGTCCTGGTCAGCAGTCAAATCTGCCTGTGCCCAGCAGGGACACAGACCTCCATTCTCCCAGCTATTCGTTGTGGAAACATCCTTGAAGTGATAGGGCAGAACAGGATCTGTCAGCAGCACTGCTCAGAAGATGCACACGAACATTAAAGACCTAGGAAGAGCAGTCTCTCAATGGTCCCCACTCTCATGCTTGATGACACCTGAGTGACCCAAGGAATCCTGACATCCAGCCAGTCTTCAGTCCCCACGCACCAGGATGGTGGCTCAGCCAGGATCCTGTCCTTCCTCATCACCTAACTCTTTCCTACCTTGGCCCCTTCTGGCTCAGAATTTCCTCAGTTACTCAAGGGCCTTACCGTCACAAATCTCCTCCTCAAACGAACATGAGAACAAACAGACACAGTTCTACCCAGGCCTGAGGACTCCTTGATGAAAGCCCTTGTTAGGATGGCAACAGCTTGGTTTCTAAGAGCTGCAGAAACCTTTCCTTCCCTCCAGTCTCATTCCTCTGGCTCTGTGTTTGACAGGTCACTTTGGGCCCAAGGGTGGAGAAGTAATATGGGACTCAGAACCCCTGGGAATTAAATTCTTGACACTTAGTCTTCCCACGTGTCCTTCAGAGAGCCCATGATACCGGCTGGGCCACATTCTTTGCAGAGTTCAAACAGGCTCTTGAGTATGGACACACTGTTAGCTCCCTTGAAACCTTTCTGCATAGATGGCCTACAAGGAACTAGTCCTTGGACCCCCAGTCCTAGTCCAGGCCTGGAGGCTGTCCACACTCTTCACAGCTGGACATGGGTTTAGAGGTCACACCCTCTCTGGAAGGCCTCAGTTAGTTCCTTAACGATCTCATGAAGCTTTTGACACCTGGGGAATCAAGGCCCCAGTCCGAGGGACCTTAGCTGAGCGGTGGTCTACTGCTTGCAGGGCGGGGCAAAAGTAGGTGTACAGTTGTTCGTATGGAAAATAATACAACACTTCATAAGAATACAAGGATAGACTCTCTGTTCCGTGTACTCACAACTGGAAGCCTAACTGTGCCCCACCCTATATTTTAAGGGCAGTTTAAGCAAAGGTATGTTTTCTGTGTCTTAAGATAGTATCAGGACTGGCAGCAAGGGCACAAGACAATGGGTTGGCACTTGTCCTGTCTAGCCTATGTCCACTTTATATCTTCTCCCTTCCATCTTTGCCCACCGCGCCTTCATTTTCTCTTCTTCGTGGGTAGTCACGGCAGATGTGGGTCAGGGTGGACCGGGAGCTGATCGGAGGCTCTCAGGCTCCCGTAGCTATACGAGCAGAGTGCCGTGTGGCTCACTGGCTACGTGTTCAGACCTTGCCCATTTCAGAAGGTGGGCATTTTTCAGACTACCAGCCACATAGATGCCTCGGAGGAACCCAGTCCATTGACCCAATAGCTATTGCCTGCTGACTCTAAGTTATTGGACAGAAGATATAGAATTTATCTGAGTTCCACTACACTAATGCAGCAATCTGGCTTAGACTGTAGGCTAATACGATGCTCTCTCTAAGACACTACAAATCAGATTAGCGACAGGCGGGATCCAGAGGAAAATTAACTCTATTACTCTCAATATTGGTCTTTTAGACATCCAGCACCCTTCACTCCACAGATCCACCTCTCGGTAGCAGGAACACGGGGCCCTGTCTGAGAGGCGGGCTTTTTGATAATGTTTACATGTCAAATCATTTTAATGAGCATTTTCAAGGCAGAATTCTTGAAAGCAATCCATTCCAGAAGCAGACATGAGGGAGAATTTTTCATTTATGCACAGCTTGAGAGAAAAATTTTAAAAAGGGTAAACTTCTAAGTTGGGGGAATATAGAAGTGTTAGATGGAAGAAAGAGCTTTAACTTTCCCCAGAAAGTAGCATTTCATTTCTTTTGCATAAAAAAGCAGTCTGTGAGGGTGCAAATCATCAGCTGTCAACATGGATTCAATTCTGAAGCTGCCGAAACAACAACAACACACAAAACGAACAAACCCACACAGCCAGAGTCACCCAGTGTTAGTACCAGCGGGAGGTCTCCACGTGGTCCCGGGCCCAACAACAAGGCACCCAGTGTCGCTGCATTTAAATAGGCAAATGGGCCGCCTGGAAAATACATGAAACAGGAAGGAGGGGAGGAGAGGGAAGGAAGGAGGGAGGGAAGGAGGGAGGGAGATAGGAAGGAAGGAGAGAGGGAGGGAGGGAGGAAGAAGAGGAAGAAGCCTCTGAGCGCCTTTCCAGATGGTGGTACCTGAACCAGCCTGTGCTGAGGGGGAGGGAGCCCATGGAGGTGATGAAGGGAGAGGAAGGGGCATGTGCAGCCGTTCCTGGGGCAACTGAGCAGCGGGGCATTGATTTGATCACGTTTTCTGTTTGTTGCAAACCTCTGGCATGGAGTTCGGGAACCCTCCCCTTTCAGGGCCGAAGGTCTGGAGGGATGGCTGTTTGGGAGGATCACACACTCACTAGGGCGCGCTGGGCAGGGGCGCAGACACAGAAGGCAGCTCATGCTGGGGAAGAGGAAGCTCCCGGTAGAAGGAGCCCCGAGCCCTGTGGTAAACAGTGTGAATGGAGAGGAAGGAAGGTGAAGCCTTAGGTTTCCGAGGAACATCACTTACTATTGCCCAGTTTCCCTCTGGGTGCAGGCGAGTGAGTCAGAGGCAAGGACTGAGATGGGCTCCTGCAAACTGAGGTACCAGGCACGGGGCACCAGGACAGGTCCTGGAGGCAGGACACACAGAAGCCTCCTGGTACCCGCCCCCCCCTCCTTCGCCAGCCAATGGGGCTCAATGTGGAGCAGCAGAGGCGGGGGTAGGGGGGGGATGCTCTGTCCTGGGCCAGACGCTAACCACTTTCAGCGCCGCAGGTCACACCATCTCTGCTGTAACTAACATCTCAACGCGCCCCAGTGGCATGAAACAGACAAAACACAAATGGTGCGTGTGGCTGTGTGCCAATAAAACTTTATTTATAAACACAGCAGTGGGCTGGGTTTGGCTCTCAGGCCATCTTTGCTGCCCTCTGGTCCAGCTGGAGGGTCAGGGGGCTAGGAGCACCACATCTGGGAGGCTCAGGACAGCCCCCGGCTGAGCCCGAGACCAGCTGTGGCTTCTGCGCGGTCCCCAGATGTTCCCACGGAGGCCGGAGCGTGGGCAGCCTGGCTGGTTTATCAGCTTGAGTTCTGGGTTCAGCTCTGGGATTTGCAAACAGCATCCGTAAGAAGGAGGACCCAGCAATCAGGAGGAGACGAGAGAAGCAGACATCGAAATAAAGGCAGACAACCTTTTCTTCTTTATTTCGCTTAGACAAAATGCAAAGAGTGTCTCTTTAAATTAAAAAATAAACGAAAAAGAAAACCAAATCGATCCCCCCTCCCCTTCACGGACGACACTCATCCTAAGTAACAACAGAAGAAGGTCAGACCGAGGCCCCAGGTCCTAATGGGAAAGAAAGGTGTGCAAACATGACTAAGTCTCCCCCTGCCCCCGCGCCAGCGTTCCTTGCAGATTCACAGAGAGCGGAATATGCTTTCCTGTTTTCTTTCTCGCATCGTGTGATAGAACTTCCGGTCAGAAGGTTTAGTTAGTCCCCCATGCACGTGTAGAAAATCAGTAAAAATGCAATAGCCTGTGAAGATCATAAAACTGGACTTCTTTCCCAAAAAATCAGATGCCCAGGCAGATGGAGCTCACACTCAGACAGAAAAAAAGCAGGAGAGTCTTTGCACTGCCTGTGGTTGCAGTAGTTTCTCTTTTTTTTAATATATTTTGGCAATTTTCTTTAATTATAAATATTGGAATTCCGTAAAAAAAAGGTAGCTTTGATTGAGTTTTTTTAAACCGTATTTACAACCGCGGTCCCGCCATGCTGTCTGTTATACCAGGGTGTACGACTTGGCGTACGGATTGCTGCCTTTCAAGTGGCCCCGGGAGTCGAGCAGCGATTCCTGGGAGCTGCTCATTTTAGCTGCCTGGCCCAGCTCGGCCCCTTCGCGCTGAGGTAATGCGGCCACGGCCCCCTGCGGCCACTGCTGTCCCTCTCGGGTGGAGGACGTGGCCGAGGGCGCCTCCATGGGGATGGGCTCCAGGACCGTGGGGCGCTTCAGGGTCCGACTTTTCTGCGGCTCCAAGCACGCCTGCCCTAAGCTCAGGTCCCTGCTGGTGCCCGGGCCACTTCGGTTCAACAAGAAGTCCATTCGAAGGTATGGAGGCAAGTGGATGAGGTCACCTGCAAAGAAACACAGAGCAGTTAGCGGGGTGCTTCAGGTGGCGAGCGGGTGCCGAGGGCCCTTGTGCACACGTGACAGGCCATCCTGGGCTCAGAGGTGAGCCCTGCACCCGGGTGAGACTGTCAAACCCCTCGTCAGAGCTCGCTGCAAAGGCGGGACCATCCTCCTCTCTAATGTGCCGGCCTCTGTATGGCACAGGAACTCTTCAGTGTCACACTTTAACCAGACAGATGAGGTCCCAAGGTCCTTCTGAAGCCCACAACAGAAAGAGAAGCCACATCAAAAATAATAATCCTATATAATAAAAGCCTAATATGCAAATTGTCCTCTCCACCAAGGACATGGGCTGACCACCAGGGGGTGGCGCAGAACACGGCAGGCGTGGGCGCTGTGGCCCTGATGGGTGGGCTCCCAGGTGCTGTGGCCCGGCTCCCAGGTGCTGAGGGAGAGGGGGGTGCGTAGGAGGCCAGGGGCCCAGGTGCTGCCCAGGGCCCAGAGGTCAGCTGGGACCTACCCTTCCATACCAGATGCTTGCACTTTGGTCGCCGGCCAGGCCTGCACTGGGTCTCTAGTAATAAATAAACAAAGAGAAAAAGAAAAACTACATCCAAGACAGACGTGCACACCAGGTGTGAAATGTGCTCCCCGAGTCCCAGGTGTGATGGGAAGCGCTTGGGGGAGCAGGGGCTCCGGGGGCGACAGAGAAAAAATAATGGAGCACCGGATCTGGTCTCGGCAGTTCCACAGGCTGTGTCACCTTCAAGCTACCAGGTTTCTCTGATCACTTTTGGTAAAAATGGCCCCAGTGACACTTTAGATTTGGCTCCGTGAAATCAAAGGAGCTCTAATTCGATGTGGGCCTCAGTCAGTGAATAGGATCAAGGGAAAGCTGATAAGAAGGGCCTTGACAATAAGCTGGCATGGACTCTTGGAGAAAGACTGGCATAACAGGGCCTTCTTGTGGAAAGGGTTTTGGAGCCTGGTGTGTCAGGATTCAGGCTTGGAAGCAATGATGCATGAGGTCTGTCATTACGGAGTCTAAGGTCAAAGGTCCAGGTGTACCTTGTGTTGGGCATTAGTCTTGTTCCTGAAAAACGGAAGTGTTTAAATAAAAACAATGAAACCTCATGCCCCGAAAGCCTTGTAGGATAACACTGAAAATGATTTATTTTTATTTCTGGTGGTGGATGTGGTATTCATTCTCTTTCGTGGGGGTTAATTATTTGCAAACAAATATCATGAAGTAATTAACAGCTGTCATTAAGAAATGACATTAAACTGGAAAAGCTCTTTGTAGTGTGAAGAATATTTTACATATGAGTCAACTCTAATTTACCACATTTTGGAATTTGTGGATTTTTATATATCCAGTTTCCTAAAAGTGACTGTCTTTATTCCTAAGAGCCTAATAGGCAAATTATATTAATTTGTCCTCTTATTTATTTATTTAATTTTTTAAAATATATTTTATTGATTTTTTACAGAGAGGAAGGGAGAGGGACAGAGAGTTAGAAACATCGATCAGCTGCCTCCTGCAAACCCCCCACTGGGGATGTGCCCACAACCAAGGTACATGCCCTTGACTGGAATTGAATCTGGGACCCTTCAGTCCGCAGGCTGACGCTCTATCCACTGAGCCAAACCAGTTAGGGCTGTCCTCTTATTTATTAACATGACTATTGTTTCTTAGCCTTGTTAAAAAATACTTGACAACATGTGGAGTTCATTGACCTCCAGGGTTATTTTAAAATGGAGGTCCAAGAACTCGCCTTGCTCTTCCTGAGGCCCAGTGACGCAGGACACCTGACGTGCTAGTCATGTGTTGTCACAGACCCGGGAACGAGTTTCTACCCAGCAGCTCCCCACGGAGTGAGGGGCGTATTAAGCCCCAAAAAGCAATCACATCTGTGTCCCGGCTAGATGGCAGGATGCGCGGGCCCTGGATTACATGGGAAAAATGTGTGTGGAATCAAAAGACAGAGCCCACGAGATCTGCCTGCGGTCCCCAGGGGCTCCCACTTTAGAAAGAGTGATCAAGAGGGTCAGGGCAGGTGGGAACGACTGGCGAGGACTGGAAATCATGACTAATGGCAACCGCTCAGCGCTGTCTCTCTATACACGGGCTACCCCTGTCTGCTGTGCAGATCTGCCAGGCCCCTCTCAATACCCACTATCTCTGCTGATGCGGTTTCTCAGGCAAAGCTTTGTGATGCTGTATGATGCTCTATTAGCTCTTTTGACAGTGTGTGTGCTTTCTGATTGGCACCCAAAGTAGCCCTATCAACTGTGTGAATGCTGCAAACGAGCTCTCTCCATCACTCATGCACAAAGGCAGCAGCGAGCACCCACGTAAGCGGTGGTAAGCTTTGTTTATTAAAGGTACTTGGGTCCATTCAAATCCCACCCCGTGCTAGTCCAAGGACCACTTGGGAAACTGGGTTCTCCAATCATCCATCCATCTTGCATGTTCTTCAGAAGCCGATAGATAGAGACAACCCATGCATGCATTACTCCAGGAAAAGAGAGAAGTGAAATGGAAAGCCGTGGTGACAACCTGGATGTGGGCACCTGATGGTCTTGGCCTCCCTGCTCTCCCTGAGCCTGTCTCACACACGAGAAACGAAACAATGATGCTAACGGTGGTGATTAAGAGTAGAGGCTGGGATGACATTGCCTGCATTTCACCTGCTATAAATCTGGGCTCAGTTTCTTCACTCACAAAATGGGACGAGTGGCAGAACCTACCATGTAGGGTTAAGGTGAGGATTGGGTTAGATAACGCATGTGAAAAGGTCCGATCAGACGTCTTCCTTCTCAGAGGGGTTGAAGTTATGGGCTGGGGATCCGCCAGGGACATGAGCTGGGAACTATTTTTTTATACCTTTGTTTCTGTCTTTAGTGGGTTGATTAGGGTTCACCCAAAAGATATGCCCATGTCCTAGCCCTCGGAATCTGTGAATGTGACCTTACTTGGAGAAAGGGTCTTCGCAGGTGTAATTAAGGTCAGGATCTCCAGGTGCGATCACCTGGATTTAAGGTAGGTCCTAAATGCAATGCCACGTGTCTCCATAAGACGCAGGCAGAGGGAGATTGGAGGCACAGAGAAGAGGGAGGGCGCCGTGTGAAGATGGAGGGCAGGTTGGAATGATGCGGCCACAAGCCAAGGAATGCCCAGGGCCGCGAGAAACCAGAAGAGGCAAGGAGGGATTCTTTCCTTGCGTTTCAGGAGGGGGCCAGGCTCTGATGACACCTTGGTTTTGGGCTTCTGGCCTCTAGAACTGTGAGAGCATTAAATTTGTTGATTTAAGCCACCAAGTTTGTGGTACTTTGTTATGGCAGCTATAGGACACTAGCACAGATGCCTGTCCTTCCTGGCTGGGGTGGGCTGGGGACACCACGGGAACTCTCTCTGAAAGTTCTATGTAGGGTGACAGTCTTTGCTTCCATTAACCATGGGAAGGAGGGGATCGCTCTTTAACAATAACAGGAGCCAACGTGGTTGTGGTTCAAGGGTCCCTCCTGTGCCCTGAGCTCCTAGGGGCGCCTCTGTGGGCTAAGCTGTCACCCATCCTTCATTCTCCACTGAGGCCAAGTCAGAGTCACTTCTTCCAGTTTCCCTGCTCCCTGGGGGAGTAGATGCTTGTCCAGCTGCCCCCAAAGGCCCCCGAGGGTTACATTCGAAGCAGCTCTCCTGGATCTTCTCCAGGAGCGAGGAGGAGCCTCAGCCCCCTGCATGCTTCCCAGGGCTCCACATCTGTAGCTAAGTAGCCAGGACCCCCTTGGGTTCTTCCATATGTTTGACAGCAGCAGTGACCCAGGAGTTCAGCAAAATCTGAACACAGTTCAGCAGTGACCCAAAGCAAAATCTCTTTTGCTTTGAATTCCAAAAGTCACTTCTCTCAGGTGCACAGGCCCCTTGCGTGCAAACCCAAGTGGCCACAAACATGGGCAGAGCCAAAGCCCAGCCTTAGGGCTGTCTCTAGCGAAATCTGTTACCGTGGTGTTCACGTCTATTTTCAGCAAGGATGTACATTGTCTATCATTTAATTTCCTCCTCCTTGTTTCTGTCCAGCTTTCCTCTCCACCCCTCTCTGAGTTTAAAGACTAGAGAGTTGGAAATACACACACACACACACACACACACACACACACAGAGAAACAGAGGGAAGAAACATGGAGACAGAACAAGGAGAGATGAAAACAAGAGATAAAGAGCCACAGGTAGAGAAAAGTGGATGGAAAGGGACTGAACTGAATCATGGGATGTGGCAGAGAGGAGGAGAGAGAGGACACGAGGCGGCACTATGGGAACAGATGCAGGTTACAGGTGACGAGAGGGCCCTGTCCCCGGTCTCACAATGGTGGCCCAACCTCCCTGGGGCCTCTGTGTTATGGAAGCATTTCTCCACTTCGCCTCATCGGCCTGCAGCCCCCATACCACAGCTGCACCCCTCACCCCATGCCAGTCGGAGGCTCTTATGATTTATGCCTTGAGGAATGATCTGGTCATGATTTCAATGTCATGCCTTGTTATTTGTCACAATGATCTATTTCTCACCCTCCTGTCACTGCCCTCTGGGAACCTTTGGTGCCACTAATATTTCTAATGTTTCCCCCCTGTCCCTAACCACTTTACTCACTGGTGCCGTCTCAACTCCTCACCTCCACCCTGACCAGCACAGACTGCCCCGGTGGTGCCATGTCCATCTGTGATAGATGCTTGAAGCCTGCCCGCTAAGGGGGCTTTCGGGCCATGGCTGGCCCCGACTGTGTGGAAACTGCTGCATTAAACCTGCCTCTCTTTAGCCGAAGACCAGGAGACCCCCCTCTTACTAGGAAAGCAAAGCTTCCTGAACATTCTCAGTATATTCAGACTCACACACAAGTCTGAATGCATTTCAGCTTCGGAAGAATAAGGGGAAAATCAATACCAACACAGGAGAAGAATCAGTCTATTGAGAAAATGTATAATGAGTGCACATCCCATGAATCTATTCCC